TAGGCCGTCATTCTTAAAGATGAACAGTAATGTGGAGGCATTAAAGGATATAGATTTATACGTATGAGATAAACAACGAAAGTAATATGAGATTTGGTTAGCAGATCTCAGTAACGAGAAATCGAGGTAAGAGTTATGATATAGTATGACCTATGTAGATGCAGTAAAGTCATACGAATGGATAACCAGGTCTATAAAATAAGATATAGCAATATTCGTAAGTTCTACAAATACCAAGAGAAGAACTTTAGGATTGGCTAAAAGCTGGAGGAAAAAGGAGAGGAGAGTCGCATAGGAACACTTACATGGTCAGTATCATAGAAGCTGCATAATGGAAGGTAGCAACAGTTACGAGATTGGAAGGGATTCGATCACAAGTCATGGTGTAGGAAAGAGGCCTAAAGGGGGGAATGCACTGGCCTTTGGACTTATTCATAGAACAATTACCTAGATGGCAAAAGGATTACTAAAGTATTCGCAAGAGCTTCGGGATATGAGAACGATAAGCGCATCAGTCAACATTCGAGGACGAATGTTCCAAAGGGGGGGAATGATGTTACACCCCATATTTTCGTACATGAAAATATGCCATAAATAAATTAATGAGAGCCCGGAAGTGAGATGTCACGTCCCGCAGTAGTACATTACGACGATGTTGCACCCTGTAGTATTGTACGTTGAATTTGTCATAAGATAACTGACAACAGTCCAAGGAAAAGATTATTTTGAGATTATAAGGATTATGCTATTTCAAACAAGTAATAAGTAAATTCGTAAAGGTGAAAGGGGAAGCAAGTCAAAGAAAATGAATTTTCGTCCAAGTTTGACATGTTGGGATAAAATACAGCTCAAGCTAAAATACTCGGTATTTATGGACTAGTACCATACAAGGTACCACATGACCATAATAGTAAGGTGTATGAGGTATGTGAAAAGTGAGTAATATTTTTGAGTAAGTGGGAATAATTCTCAGTTTTACGGGTAATTAATTAATTATCGGGTAACGAGACATTACCTAATTAATTGGGTAATGGAATTAAGGAGTCCAACGTGGCAGCACCCCTTAAAGCCCATGAATGACTCTTTAAGTCATTTCATTATGTGGCAAAGGTGGAAATGTGGAGATGACACATATACAACATTTGGCAAAGTTACAAAAGAAGACGAAATACTAAGAAAGCTTAAATCAGTATCCACAAAACGTAAATTAATCTTGGTAATGCCAAAACTGAAAGCATCAATTCAATCAACATACTCTTTTGGTCAAATACAAGGGAAAGCTTCAACAGTTCATTAGAAAAAATGTGATTTTGCCACCAAAAAAACATACGAGACTACGTAATGTTATAACAACGAGATTTTGCGATTTTAAGGGAGTACGATGCAATCTTTCTCAAATAATATCATACGAATTTTTTTTTCTACTGCGATCCATCGTTATATGTTGTCACAATCAACAGGTGCTAGAGGAGTTGTCAAGAGAATCGACCCATGTATGTTAAGACTATCTCTTCTGTCTTTTGGCATGATCCATACGATACGAACGAAACGTGCAAATGCACAAATTCCATGAATGACTCTATTCATAGAAGTATTAGAGATATCTATATTCTTGAATTTTCGTGTGTCATAATATTTTATCATCTGTTCATGGGTCTCAGAAGAAAAAAATACGAAAGTTGAAAAGAGTTTACTTTATGATATTACTCAAAGGCAAAATGGTCTTATGAAGCTCCGAAAGATTTTATTACGTATTTTTCATGTATTTCATACATGTGCATTGACCCATGACCAGACGACGTTATATATGCATATATATGTATATGGGATATGGGAAAAAGGTTACAGCGTTATATACGCATCTCCACCTAATCAGCTGTTATAGGATGATGATGTTGCCACAATANTGATGGGATGCCCTCAGAGGTTGATGATGTTATGAAACATGTACCTATGCACGACATGACATTTCATACGCATATCATGACGTTAAAAGTAATTTATGATTTACAAAGTTATTCAGACTTACAGGTTGAGTCATGTACTCTATATTTCTTCCATGTCTCTTATGTACCTATTTATGTGCCTTACATACTCGGTACACTATTCGTACTGACATCCCTTTTGCCTGGGGACGCTGCGTTTCATGCCCGCAGGTCAAGATTGATAGGTCGAGAGCCCTCTAAGTAGGCTATCAGCTTAGCAAAAGATGTTGGTGCGCTCCATTTACTTCGGAGTTGCTTGTTTGGTTAGTATGATTTAGACGGGTATTGTTTGGTATGGCGGGACTCTGTCCCGACCTTTATGATATTTATATATTCTTAGAGGCTTGTAGACATATGTCACATACGTGAAAGATTATACGGCCTTGTCGGTCTATGTTTTGAGTTTATAAATGATTATTTTGGTCTATTAGGCTCGTATGTCACGTGTATATGATGATGTAATAAGAAAGATACGTTACGTTGGTACTCGGTTGAGTAAGGTACCGGGTGCCCATCGCGGCCAATTGGTTGGGTCGTGACATGGATGATGAGCCAGAAGGACCGTAAAAAGGCCACATGCCATTGATAAAATCCAAGAATGGTTGGCTTGGGGTGAAAAGGAAAAGGGATACAAAGCAACTGTTCATCCCTTAGAAGAAAGCTTGAGGAACCTCAATTTTGAGAAAGACTTACAAGCACAAGAAGCAGAAGGTGAAAAGAAGAGTCTGATTCGCGAGAATGAAGCCCTTTGTGTTCGGCTTCAACAGATGAAGAAAGCGTCTAAAGTGCCAGTGAGAAGTTGGAAAGACCAGAGAACCATTGCCAATCTAATGGAAAAGGTTCAAGATTATGACTCCATCTTGGCAAAGACTGAAAAGGCATTGGACAAAGCTAAGGAAAAAATCGTACAGTTAAATTAGAAGGCCAAATCTAGTAAGGATTGCCAAGTAACGAAATTTGAAGATGAGAGGGCTCAATTCGAGAGAGAGAAGGCCCATTGGGTACGTTCAGAGGCTCAGCTCCATGCACAGTTGGAAGAAATGAGAAGGTACAATAGAGAATATCAACATGCAGATATTGATAGGGAGAGGGCACAGGCAAGACTCGAGCAGGCTAGACTTCGGGCTCAGTTGGAGTTAGCTTTAGATCGCGAGGGCCACATAAGAAAGATAGCCACCACTCGCTAGCAGCAGTTACAAGATCGAGACTAGAATTTCCAGTACTTCAGAGAGCAAGTCCATGATTTGGTTGTTTATACCGCTCAAAGTTATGTGAACTGCCAAGGGATGGATTATGACAAGTTTTTGGAGCATGCACCTACTTTTGCCTATCATCTTGCAGCAGAGTTAGAGAGGATGTACCGTACATTAGGGGGTCAGCCAGGTCAAGCCCCACCATGAGCAGATGTTCCAGTAGTTGAAAGCAAAAAGATTGTGGAGTTGAAGCATAGTCATAGATGTTAGAACTTTTCATGTAATAGTCATGTTTTAGTTTGAATCATTGTTAAGTCTTTTAAATCCTTATTTTTTTTAGTCTTGTGTGAGTTTATTAAGTCATTTCAATGTAATGTCCTTTCTGTCATTGTATTGTTTCATTTATAAAAAAAACTATTATTGTTTTCCCCTGAACTACATAATGGTCTGATTCATGCGGCGATATGATACGTAGGCAATCCCCATCGGATACGATCATAACCATTATTAATCTGAAAAAGAAAAAAAAAATGAATAATAATAAATAAGAAAAGAGAGCACTAAATTCAAGATGAAAATAAAACCAATTAACCAATAAAAGGCGGGATGAAGCATGAAGCCTTCCAAACTTATTCTAGAAATGAAAATGACATTAGGTGCATGACATACAATGTGTGATTAATATATGCAAAATGCCTAACTCTAATATGTTTGTTGTTTGTCATTTTAAAGAGATAAAGTTAAATAGATGTGGTTGGTTTGTGGTTTAAACTAGCGACTCACCCTTACAACACGAGATCAAAAGGAAAAAGTAGAATGGCAAACAACAGTGAGAATGAGTCAGATAATGATGATGTCCATAGACAATTAGCTGAACAAGGTTCGGGACTGGTTGAAGAAGTAAGAGTGTTGAAATAACAATTGGCAGAAATTTACCAAGCCTGGGTGGGCACTGCCCTCACTACCCGTAGGGCCTTCGGATAATCTTCATAATGTGTCAATTGCAAATCAAATTCCCATCTCCATAACAAGTAACCCATTGTACCAACTTGGATTCAGTCCGAGCATTAACCTTCCCACTATCCCCAGTACCTCAATTCCACGTCCTCCAGCTGTACCCCTCAGAAATGACCCACATACTATACCCATTGTCCCTATTTTCACCGTTCCTCAACCGGCTCTCGCTCAAAATCTCAACAATGATCCACAGCTGAATGCTCATGATACCCAACATTACTCTCCAGAACTGACTTTCAAGGTTCCAGATTCATACAAGCATACTGCTCAGAACATGTTCCTAGTTGAGATCGAAAAGCCCGACAAGAATATGGAACAAGAGGAAATGACTAGAAAAATGAAGAGCTTGGAACAAACCATGATAAACATACATGGTTTGGGAGGCCACAAAAGTGTTTCGTTCAATGATTTATGCATGTTTCCCCATGTCATTTGCCACCCGGCTTCAAGAACCCCAAGTTTGATAAGTATGATGGTCATGGTGATCATGTGGCCCATTTGAAGAGGTATTGTAACCAATTAAGGGGAGTGAGTGGCAAAGAAGAATTACTCATGGCTTATTTTTGGGGAAAGTTTGACAGGAGTTGCTTCAGAGTGGTTCATAGATCAAGACAACTCTCACTGACACGTTTGGAATGACATTACTCAAGATTTTCTCCAGCAATTTCAGTACAATATTAATATAGTGCCATATCGCTCCTCTCTTGTCAACATAAAGAAGAAACCAACAGAAAGCTTCAGAGAATATGCAATCAAGTGGAGAGAGCAGACTGCTAGGGTCAAACCACCAATGAAAGAGGCAGAAATGATTGACTACTTTCTCCAAGCTCAGGATCCTGATTACCTCCATTATATGTTGGCCGCCATTGGTAAACCTTTTATTGAGGCGATTAAGATTGGGAAAATAGTTGAGAATGGCATGAAGTTGGGCAAAATTGTGAGTCAGGCAGCCCTTAAGGCGACCACAAGCAATTCAAAGTGGGTCAGGCAATTTCGGAAATCGAAAAAAGAAGGAGGAAGGATCCATGATGGCATCAGGATTCGGGGGAGATCAAAGAGGAATAGTTCCTTCTTACGTGCAATTCCAACAAGGACAATCCAATTCTCCTCAACATTATTATCTGCCTCAGGGTCCCCGGTACTCAGTTCCCTCGCAACAATACACAATGTTTAATGCTCAGGCTTATGTTAGGCCTCCCAATCACCAACAATGGCTATCACCAATTCCACAAAGCTCCCGTAAACTCCGACCAAATTTTCGGGCGCCATATAATCCTTGTCCCAGACAGGAATATGTGAGAGAACAGAAGCCAAAGAAAGAGTTCACCCCAATTGGAGAATCGTATACAAGCCTATTTCGAAAATTGATGCAGTTGAAGTTGATTGAACCTATCATGCCGCGTTATCTGAATCCAAATTCAAAAGGTTTTGACTCCAATGCGAGATGTATCACTCTAACGCCCAAGGTCATAGTACCGAAAATTATTGGACATTAAAGAAATCTATTGAAAATTTGATTGAAGCAAAGGCAATTGTGGTGACAAACAATGAAGATACTCCTAATATCACAAACAATCTGCTCCCAGCTCATGATAATACACATTTTATTGGGATGATTTGTGATGATCGGGATTATAAGCAGTCTGGCAAGACAGAGATGGTTGTTGGAACCATAAGGCAAGAGCCAAAAGTGATAGTAAGCCCGCCGCAATTGGCACCGTTGATTGTGAAAGGTGCGAGTTCTAGTTCAAACTTGGCAGTTTCTGAAAAAACGGTTCTCTATGTCCCTGGAAGCACAAAAAATGTTGAGGTTCAATTGGGTGGGCCAAAACCTTACATCCCTGGGGGCATCCAAAAGATTGTTCTGAATAATGGTGTGAGAAATATAACAGAGCCAGTTGTGATCCGACCTGTTGCACAACTCCCAGTGTCAAACATAAAAGCTATTCCCTGGAATTATAACAAAACTGTCATGACATGCAAAGGAAAAGAGATAGTGGAAGAAACAGATGAAATAGGAGGCTTGACCTGCTGTGGAAGGTTCTACTCACCAGAGGAATTGAGAAAAGCTAAGCAAGCCAAGGAAAATCACTTTCCAGTGAAAGAACCCATTTCAGAAAAAGAAGTAGAGGAATTCCTTAAGAAGATGAAAATGCAAGACTACTCAATCATTGATCAACTAAGGAAAACCCCCACTCAAATATCTTTGTTATCTCTGCTTTTGCACTCTAAAGAACATCACCGTGTGTTGATCAAAACTTTGAACGAGGCATATGTCTCAGAAAAGACAACGGTGAATCAGCTAGAAAAAATGGCTGAAAGATTCTTTGAGGTGAACAAAATTTCTTTCAGCGATGATGATTTGCCTGAGGAAGGGGCTGGGCACAATAAAGCTTTGCATCTTGTGGTCAAATGTGAAGGGCATTACGTAAAAGGAGTCATGATTGACGGAGGCTCAAGTGTAGATGTATGCCCTCTTTTTATTCTACAACAACTGAACATTGACACTAACACAATTCAAACTAGTAGTGTTAGCATTAGAGCTTTTGATGGTTCAAGAAGAGACACTATTGGGGAAATCAAACTCACCATGACAATTGGCCCGATTGATTTAACATTGTCTTTCAAATGTTGGATATGAAAACTTCCTATAATTTTCTTTTGGGAAGGCCGTGGATCCATATGGCCAGAGCTATACCATCCACCCTACATCAAATGGTCAAATTCGAGTATGACAGGCAAGAAATTGTTGTTCATGGGGAGGATGACTCATCCGTCTATAATGACCCATCCATTCCATGTATAGAGGCCAAGGAAGGATGTGAATCCCTCATATATCAAACATTTGAGGTGATTGAGATAGACCAAGTGGAAGAAGGAAAACCAATTCTACATCCCCATCTTTCATCCACTTCTATGATGGTAGCTTCACTGATATTGAGGAACGGCTATGAACCAGGAAAAGGATTAGGATCCTTTCTGCAAGGAATTATGAACCCCATTGCTCCCTTTTCGAAGAAAGATACCTTTGGCTTGGGTTTTAAACCAACATCATCTGACATAAACAGAGCCAAGGCCCGCAAAAAGAATGGTTGGAAATTGTCAAAACTAATCCCTCACATTGCCTACTCTTTTGTCAAGCCACAATTTGAAGAAGTCCAAAATCCTTCTACTCAGGATGACATTGATGAAGTTTGCCAGGGACTCAAGGAGATGTTCTATGAGATCAATATGGTTCAAGTTGGTGAGGGCCCTAGCCATGAAAGTGTTCAGTTGATTGGTCTAGATACCTTGTTCAACAACTGGGAAGCAACTCCTCTTCCCATCGAGAAGGAGTCTTAATAGTCTGTTTTGTTGCTTTTTCTGTATTTGGATTATTTTCAGGGTTGTAATCCATATATTTTTGTTTAATTGCTTTCCTTGATGTTAACCCTTCTATCCTTTCAAATTCAAGGAAATGAAGTTCCAGTTTCATAGTAGAATTATGTCTTTTCCTTTCCCTAATTTTTGTTAATTTCTCATCATTTTCAGTTTCGTTAATGTTGGCTTTAAAAACATGACATGCACACGAAATTCATGCCCATATCTTACAAAGTTGTCTAATCTCGAAATAATGAATCAAGAAGTTGAGTATGATGAAGATGAGGCTTTTAAGGAAATAAAAAGAGAATTGGTCATTTTTAGAATAAGACTAAGCCTAACTTAAATGAAACTGATGCAATTAACCTGGGAAGTCCTGAAGAAATCAAAGAAACAAAAATAAGCATTCATACTGAACAAAAGACGAGAGATGCCATAATTTAAGTTTTGGTCAAGTACATAGATGTATTTGCTTGGTCGTATGATGACATATCGGGTTTAAGTGCCGATTTAGTGGTCCATAAGATTCCCACATATCCTGATTTTTCACCAATCCAGCAAAAACAAAGGAAGTTTAAAACAGACATAAGTGATAAGATTAAAGAAGAAATCACGAAGCAACTAAGTGCAAACGTGATCAGGGTCGTCTGGTATACCACATGGTTAGCAAATGTTGTGCCAGTGCCAAAGAAGGATGGCAAAATCAGAGTTTTTATCAACTATAGGGATTTAAACAAAGAAAGTCCAAAGGACAACTTTCCTTTACCCAACATTCATATCCTTGTTGACAATTGTGCTAAACATGAAATCCAATCTTTTGTGGATTGTTATGCTGGGTATCACCAAATTCTGATGGGTGAAGAAGATGCAGAAAAGACTGCCTTCACCACTCCATGGGGAACTTATTGTTATAGGGTCATTCATTTGGTTTGAAGAATGCAGGAGCAACTTACATGAGGGCCATGACTACCATATTCCATGACATGATGCACAAAGAGATTGAGGTGTATGTTGATGGTGTGATCGTTATGTCTAGAACACAAGATGATCATATGCAAGACTTGAAAAAGTTCTTTGAAAGGCTACGAAGGTATAATCTCAAACTCAATCCAGCCAAATGTGCATTTGGAGTTCCTTCTGGGAAGCTTTTGGGTTTTATAGTTAGTCGAAGATGCATTAAGTTAGATCCCTCCAAGATAAAGACCATTCGAGAGCTGCCTCCCCTGAAGAATAAAAAAGAAGTCATGAGTTTGCTCGGGAGGTTGAACTACATCAACAAGTTCATTGCGCAGCTTACAACCACTTGTGAGCCTATTTTCAAGTTGTTGAAAAAGAACGCCGCTATCAAGTGGACAGATGAGTGCCAAGAAGCTTTTGATAAGATCAAGAAATATTTGTCAAATCCCCTTTTTTGGTCCCGCCGGAACATGGTAGGCCTCTGTTTTTATATCTGTCAGTAATGGATAGTTCCTTTGGCTGTGTTCTGGGTCAAAATGATGCCACAGGTAAAAAGGAACAAACAATATATTATTTGAGCAAAAAGTTCACCACTTATGAGGCCAAATACACTCTTTTGGAAAGGACATGTTGTGCCTTAACCTGGGTCGCTCAGAAGATTAGGCATTAATCTTTTGGCCTATACAACTTACCTCATATCCCGAATGGATCCCCTTAAGTACATTTTTTTCAGAAGGCGATGCCAACTGGCAGATTGGCAAAGTGGCAATTCTTGCTCACAGAGTTTGATATTGTTTAAGTCACTCGCACTGCCATGAAGGCACAAGCTTTGACTGATCATCTGGCCGAAAACCCGGTTGATGATGAGTATGAATCTTTGAACTCATGCTTCCTAGATGAAGAGGTTAATTTAGTTGAAGACGTAGTCCAAGATGACAGTCAAATTTGGAAACTATACTTTGATGAGGCTGTCAACATCAAAGGCGTAGGGATTGGGGCAATTCTTGTATCACCTACTGGGCAACATTACCCTGCCACGGCAGGACTTTGTTTCTTCTGTACAAACAACACGGTAGAATATGAAGCTTGCATCATGGGTCTGAATATGGCAATAAACCTAAATGTGCATGAACTGTTGGTGATGGGAGATTCAGATTTGCTTATTCGGCAGGCTCAAGGTGATTGGGAGACTCGAGACATCAAGATCATTCCGTATAGACAATGTGTGGAAGATCTTAGTAAAAGGTTCAAGTCCATCGAGTTCAGGTACATTCCCCAGGTTTCACAATGAATTAGTTGATGCCTTGGACACCCTGGCCTTAATGCTTCCATATCCGGCTAATACTCACATTGACCCACTAGAAATTCAAATTCGGGATCAACATGGTTATTGCAATACAATTGAAGCAGAATTAGACAGTGAACCATGGTATCGTGATATTAACAGTTTCTGAAAACAAGAGAATATCCGGAACATGCTAATAGGGATCAAAAGAGATCTATTAGGCGACTCTCTAATGGTTTCTTTTTTAGTGGGGAAATCCCATACAAAAGAACCCTAGATTTGAATTTATTGAGATGTGTGGATGCCAAAGAAGCTGAAATGATTAATAATGAGGTGCATTTGGGAGTTTGTGGTCCACACATGAATGGATATGTTCTAACAAAGAAAATTCTTCAGGCAGGATATTATTGGCTTACTATGAAGCGAGATTGCTTTAGTTTTGTTCACAAATGCCACCAGTGTCAGATTCACAGTGATTTGCTTCACTCGCCTCCTAAAGAGTTATATCCTATGTCGGCTCCTTGGCCTTTTGTTGCTTGGGGAATGGACGTCATTGGCCCAATTGAGCCAAAAGCTTCAAATGGGCACATATTCATCTTGGTTGCAATTGATTACTTCACTAAATGGGTGAAAGCTATTACATTGAAAACAGTTACCAAGAAAGCAATAGTAGACTTTGTTCACTCCAACATCATCTGTCGTTTCGGTATTCCAAAAACTATTATTATAGATAATGCTGCTAATTTGAATAGTCATCTGATGAAGGAGGTATGCGAACAATTTAAAATTGAGCATCACAATTCTACACCTTACCGGCCCAAAGCTAATAGAGCTGTTGAAGCTGTGAATAAGAACATCAAGAAGATTCTTAGGAAGATGGTCCAAGGGTCTAGACAATGGCACGAGAAGCTGCCTTTTGCTCTTTTGGGATACCGGACAACTGTTTGTACATCAGTTGGCGCAATGCCTTACTTGTTAGTTTATGGAACTGAAGCGGTCATACTTGCGGAAGTTGAGATTTCCTCTCTCTGAATCATTATTGAAGTAGGGATCGAGGACACTGACTAGGTCAAGTCCCCATTGGAACAGTTGAGTTTAATTGATGAAAAGCGTTTGGCAACAGTTTGTTTTGGTTAGTTATACCAACAAAGAATGGCACACGCTTATAATAAGAAAGTGCGCCCAAGAAAATTTGAGGTAGGATAGCTTGTTTTGAAATGCATCTTTCCGCACCAAGAAAAAGCAAAAGGAAAGTTCGCCCCGAATTGGCAAGGTCCTTACCTCTTCAAAAAAGTATTGTCAAAAGGAGCTCTACACTTGGCAGATATAGAAGGAAAGGTGACAGATATATCCGTCAATGCAGATGCGGTCAAGAGATACTATGTTTGACACGCCTCTGTAGGGGCATTTTTTATACTTAGCATTCTCAGGTTGGGATGACGAAAGCTATCATTCTCGCTACCCAAACACTGGTCAACCCTAGTTAGTCCTTTGAAGTCTTGTTTATATTTCTTTGTTTTCTCCTCTTTTGGAACCAATGTCAAAAAAATAAAATCAAAAAAAGAATCATCAAAACAAGTTCACGTTAATTGAACTACGTCCGACCTGATTCCGAAAGGATACATAGGCAGCCTCACTCTGGGGTTCGGTCACACCAAACAAAAATCCACATTCCCCAATATTCAAAGAAACTGGGGCATGATTTTATTTTATTTTTCGACGGCTTTTCCATCAAAATGGTTCCAAAAGTTGTAATTCAGTCGAATAGCTCTTTTTACCTTTCCCTGCTAAGACCTTCTGATCAACTTTTGAGAATGCTAAGTCAATATACTACGGGTGATTCCTCAACCATTGTAAAAAGAGAAAAATAAATGAGAGAATCTTATTAATGAAAACCCTTACGGGCACTATAAGGCACTGGTGAGTTGAGAAAAGACAAATGAGAGAGGTTAGTTGGTGAAAACCCACAAAGGGCATCATTGATCGATTTAGGTCTTCATATATCCCGACACAAGCATGGTTAAGACAAAGAACTCAGT